CGAAACCGTTCCAAAGACCCTCTCATAATGATAGCTTCTTTGAAATGTCGCGATGATAGTGTATACGTAGACGGCAAAGTAAATGTTAAAAGTATATACTGTCGGTGGACACTGAAGCAACTAGGACCATTATAGAACCAACAACCATAAATAACCGTAAGACACTTCTACCAACAAGATTGCGACTGCGGACTGCCACAGATGAAAGTGCCAACATCCATGGGGAAATCCAGGCTCAATTGGGATTGATACATACTGTTATTGTCGCTGATATCGAAGAAGATGTGATTCTTGGAATGGATGTAATGAACTTACATGGTTTCCAATTAGACTTTTAGAACAGAATGATCAAAGTTGGTGCCGAAGAGGCATTCCTACATCCATATGGGGACAGTACTTTTCTTAATTTTATTAGTATCCTATTTTATATACCGGAGTTTTCTTTTTTTAGTCCATCTTCTCGGTTGTATCTTTATTCACTGACTGGTGAAAATTCTTCGTTTTCTAAACTGTTTGATAATAGTGCCGACTAGCAAGATTGTGAAATAGCTTTGTAGATTGTAATGACTAAAGAATAAAAATTGAATTAAAAATTAAATAATTTTTTTTGATTTAATTTAATTTTTTTTTTAAACTAAGGGTTATAATTATTATTTATTGCATTTGCGATTTGTGCCAATATCCTGTTTCCACAGCTACCGAGTGCATTTAACATAAGACTTCCTTTACTATAGCTACTACACCTGCATTCAAATTAGAAGCATCAATATTATTACCAAATCTTAAGGTTATTTAAAAAAAGGAAATAATTAGATTTTAAAACTGAAGAACTTTCCCAAAACAAAATAACAAAACTTGAAATCGTCCAGCATATAATTATCTTTTATTATTTTAAAATGTATAGTATTAAAAAAAGGTCGATTTCAAGGGATACACCTTTTTATAATATCCTAAACTGTCATATGTCATTCCTCTCCCCTACATCAATCTAACCAATACAATTTAAATAAAGAAAGTACCAAGTATGACACATCGTCGCAAAGGTAATTTTATGGGGAATTCCACAATATGACTAGTTCATTGCGTTCCTTTTAATTTTAGCGTCCTTTATTGAAATAAAAAATTATTACCTATGGTAAAGTGTGATACTTTATTTAAAAGCTAATTTTATTAGTATTCCAATGCACCACATAACATTAACCTAGATATCTCCATATTGCACTCTCAAACAAAATAAATTTAGTAATAATGGATTCTTTTTTCCTTTTAAGTTCATTTTTGATTTAATTAACATAATATTACGTAGTGTTATAATTACACTTTACTATAGGTAATAATTTTTTATCTCGATAGAGGGCGTTAAAATTAAAAGGACCGCAATGAACAGTCGTAATGCTGAATTCCCCATAAAATTACCTTTCTGAAGATATGTCGTACTTGGTACTTTCTCTATTTAAATTGTATTGATTAGATTGATGTCAGGGAAGAGGAATGGCATATGACAGTTAAGGATATTATAGAAAGGTGCCCCCTTGAAATAAAAATCGACCTGTTTTTGTGTGTTTTTTTTAAATTCTACTTTAAGATATTCTGAGATACGGTCGGTCGCAACACTTAATGAATCACCCTGTACAATGACACAAAACATAAGTAATGTACTAAATGTTTTATAGCTAATAGTCCTACTACGCCTATCATAGGACCTTTCAGCTCTAAACGGTGTTCAAAGCCCACGAGCCAATTCAACTTTCCGTTTACCAATTTCGAAACGTGTCATAATTTCCGCAAGTTTCGGAGGTGAGGTGATACTCAAAGAGTAATTAAAATTTGCTTTGTAATTGCCTAAATGTTTGCCGCTATGATTTCATAAAGTAAGCGGTATAAAACCGTTGTATTTGTTCAAAAGTCCTTAACGCTCGACAATTTATGTTTTACTAGCTGGCCGCAAACTTTTAATTATACTCGTTTGTAGTTTAATACCGGCCGAAAATTTGACTTGTTGTCGAATTGCTGTTCCCTTTTCTTTCTCCCCTTCCTTTTGTTCTTTCAGGACTCGGATTTGCATAAATTTGATAATTATTATTATTACTATTCATTATTCATTTTTGGATTTTCAACTTTAACGGGTAATATTTCATCTAAACATTGTTTTATTTTTAATTGGATAATTTTTAGACCGATTCTTCCACACCACCCTTCATTAAATTATTCTAAGCTTAATTAAAAAAATAATATGGCTACTTATATATGTATAAAACAAAGTTTAAGATTCTCACATACATGGTACATTAATAAAATGCAGAGAAAAAATATAAGAACATTAACATACAAATAAATACTCAGTGTAGGCTAAGGAAAAAAATATAGAAATACAGATCTGTGTAATAAATTTTAAATTAGTAATAATATCCCCATAGGAGAGCTGTTTAATAGCAATCACAAAATAACAATATGTATATTATTGATTATTAAAAAGCTGTTTCCTGTGTTTGTTTTTAAATGCTTTAAAGGATAAATTAAAGTTAGGTATATTGAGTAGATGACTGACAGAAGCAACTTGGTAAGAGAATGAACTTTTAAACAATTCCTTATTATGGGATGGTGTAGTAATATAATGGTGCCTTCTTAAATTTAAATTATGTACATCAGTTCTAAATTTAATTTTGTTAAGAAGATAGGGTGGAGTTTTTGTTTTCACTATTTTATAATAAAAACATAAGGTATAAAGTTTCCGTGTATTAAACATACTTAACCATTTTACTTGTTTGAGCTTGTGGGATATTCTGTTTCTACGTCTGATACGAAATATTAATAAGGCAACTGTTTTGTAATTTGCGCAGAAAGGGGTCATAGACCGTGACACAGTGGTTAAAATGGGACAGAACTAAAGACATTGTTAGTAGTATTTTTGTTTCAATATTCAATTCTGATCAGTGAGGATAAATTAATTTTAAAGAATAATAAGCCTTTTTTATTTTATCAGTAATATGCTTATTAAAGCGAAGTTTGGAGTCTATGATTAAACCCAAATGCTTACAGTATTCTTGAACTTCTAAAGTTTGATTTTTAATTTCAATTTTTAGATTAGGCAAGACAGTTGATCTTTGATGATCATTTCAAAATAAGACGACATTCGATTTTTTTTGGATTAATTTTAAGATGGTGCTTGTCCGATAGTGAAACAATTGTGGCTAGATCAGTATTAATATTGATAACGGCCTCGCAAATACTGGATGTTTTAAAAGAATAATAAATTTGGGTGTCGTCTGCGTACAGTGTCTTAGATAGTTGTGAAAATACGAAGTGTACAAAGTAAAAAAGAGCGAACCTAATATGCTTCCTTGGGGCACACCCTGTTGAATGTCAATTTTATCAGATAATTTGTCCTCAACAGTTATTTGCTGCACTCTATTTGTAGGATAGGACTTTAAAAGAGAGCATGAACTTTTACTCAAACCAATGTAGTGAAATATAGAAAACATTAGCTTGAACGTAATTTTCACCCCCTTCAAAACGTCGGATTGCTTTAAAACTTTGCACATTTATCAAGGACCAATGACAATGCAATAATTTAAATAGTTTGTTCCATTATCCTGATCAGGACCTTTAGGATTAGCGATTTTCCAAATCCGATACCGTATATTATCCTTGAGGTAGGTTAGGTTAGGTTGAAAATGAGTGGGATGATCTCATCGCCTTCCACTGTGACCCAGATGGGTCTATTGTGATCCCTGAGGTAACTTTTTATTAAAATTTATTCAGTGTTAGAGGTTGAGGGGAGGGGGTGCATTTTTTACTATCATTTTCGATCCTCTATTCATCCATGTACTCATTATTATAATTAGTGCCAATGAAAACCCAACTCAAGTTCCCTTTAGATGCAGTTAGTCAGCTATCCCTGTGGTATGTTATATAAAATGGAGAAATCGTCTAATATTAAGGTGGATTTTAGCAAAATTTCTGAAATCGTAAGATATTTAGGTAATCCCCTAAATACGGATGCGTTTTGACTTCAGTGGTTTACGACTTGGTTTTCCATAAACAAACGATTTCAAAAAAGTTAAGCACGAAATATTCAATTCAATTCAAACAAAACTGAATATATGAATGAGAATATACAAGGTGTTAAAAAAAAAGTGTCACAAAATGAAATGGTGAATAGTATGACCCAAAATAAGCAGAAAAGTCTTAATAAATATATGACCGCAAATTAACGGTTTCGGAGATACGGACCATTTTGTGTTTATAACAATTTTTTATTATTATAAAAAAACAATGATATTTATAAACAATCAATAACAACATAGAGTTAAATGAGATGTTCAAATACTGACGTAGCGCTTCCCTCGCATTGCCATTTGCACGACCGTACATAAAATGCATGTCAGCTAATTCAATATTAGTGTAAACAGGCATAACGAAAATTTATAAAATTATTCACCCACAACAAAATAATAACTGCAAATAGTATCTATGAAAAAACATCGGTAGACTCCGATAAGAAAAGCAAGTTTTTGAGAATGAAAAAAGATAATCAAAAAATGATACAAAACACTCCGTATCTCTGAAACCATTCATTTGCGGACATATGTTTATTAAGACTTTTCTGCATATTTTGGCCCATACTACCCCCCGTTTTATTTTGTGACACTTTTTAACACCCTGTATACGGACGGAGGCATATTAGTATAAATGAAATTAAATAAAAAAGTTTGTAGAATGGTAGAAAATAAATAATAGTTTAAAAAATCTAAAAAAACACGCTTTAATAGAAAAGCAAACTAAAAAGTAGAAAATAATTTCCAATAAATTTAAATTAACAATGGCGTGATTAACAAAAAAAATTATTGAGTATTTTTAATTATATAGTTTTGTCAAAATGGTAATTTAATTAACTTCTGAAATGACGTTTAGAAATGGTTGTATAAAGCTCCAAAATTGTACAGAGCATAGATCAACTGAATTTTACTTTAGTCATTAATTCCTTTAATACGACTTACCCAACATTTTAACAACGTGCTTGGTAGCCTGCGCATTCTTGGCAAAATTTTTCCTGCCCTCCACTTCTTCTTGTTGACTTCCATACTGTTGCTGTTGACTCATTTCGTCACCCCTGTTCATCACCAGCACCTGCGTCGACGGATGTACATAAGCCACGACCGGCTTGTACACCTTCTGGTGCTTCATTTTTATACTGCTGCCTCTAGAGGGCCCCACTGTCGATTTGCGTAGCTGCAGCCCAATAAAAATGTACAGGACCGTAATGAGGGACATGGGCGCTACGAAGAAAAGTAAAGTGGAGATTAGGAAGTTGTGTGGAATGATCTCTCTTTTGATCATGCATACGCAGTGGTCTTCGACGATGTAACCTAAAAAATATAGGTTGGGAATATTCTGTCTATTTGCACAAATCCATTGACTTACCATTTGCTAAGACCTCACAGACGATTCCAAATGCCATGGCTTGCGGTATGGCAAGTCCAATCGCTATGGCCCAAATGAGTATGATGTATTTGATGGCTCTGTTCAACTTTGATAGCGTGTGTGACAGGAAGGGATGACAGATCGCCACGTAACGTTCGACTGTGAAGGCCGTGATGGTAAGGACGGTGGCATTTGCAGACGTTTCAGCTGTTAAACCCTAGAATAAAAAAAATAATATAATAATAATTACAAAAATTAAAATACTTTTAAACTCAAATGCAACCAAGATGTTTAAAATATACTAAATACAAATAAAAAATATAAATTTCATTTGCAGTCTACGAACCGTGAGTAGTGTGACTCTCAAGCTTCGAGCATATATTACTAGAACCATCGTCCAAATGGACTTTGTTTTGGTATAGGTGGGAAAATAGTATTCACATTGGTCATAAATCGTTCGAAATTGTCAGAACTGTCATTAATTTCTAGCTTTTTTTTTCGGCGTATGTTTGTAATTTGTAATACATTCAAATCCCGCGCCGCGTATATATACAGGGTGTTTATTAATTGAGTGCCGATACTTAAGGGTGTGAATCCTTAGATGATTTTAAGAAAAAAAGTTAATATCAACATATGTCGTAACTCACTTAATTTTTGAGCTACAGGGTGTTAAAGTTTTAAGAAAAAAATTACTTTTTTATCATAATTTTTTTATCACTCCAGATATTTCTATGAAATATTGTACACACGTTTTAATAATTAAGGAGCATTTTTTGACGTATAAGATTTTTTTAAATTTTTACCAGTGACGTCCGTACGGGGTTTGAACTGAATATTTTTAAAGAAAAAAATGGTGCGCCACTGCTTTTTCTCAAAACCAAAATTATTTTTGAAATCATCATTTATTTTGGAGCAAACTTGGTTTATAGACTTACTTTCGTACGATGCACCGTTTTCGCGTAAAAAAATAAAAACCATTGTAGTGGTGTCAAATTTTTTCCTTAAATTCATTGATACCTACTGCTTTTGATATTTTATTGAAATCTGGTAGGCACCTACCATGCGTGGAAACATTTTTTTGGGACAAAAATTAATTTTCTACGTTTTGAATAGAAAAAAATGGTAAGCGCATTATTGCCCTCTTAAAGCAAATTAAATAAACATTAATAGGCTGGGTAAAGCGTCATCATTTTTGACGTTTCTTTTCATAAAGACAATAAAGTTGACATTGATTTTACATTATTAAATAATTATTATTAGAGTAAGAGTTAAAATCTGAAAAAAAATGGTAAATTTTACGAACAGTGAATTAGCTGACATGCATTTTAGTTATGGACTTGCAGACGGAAATGCATACGAAGCCAGACGGATATACCAAGAGCGGTATCCAAATCGGGTACTGCCCGATCCGAGAACATTTTCTAGGATTCATAGACGTCTTCACGAGACCAGAACTTTAAAAGTAGACCACAGGGCTAAAGGAGTCCATCAAACAGTAAGAACATCGGAACTTGAAGAAGGAATTTTACATTAAATTGAGGAGAACCCCGAAACTAGCATGAGGAGAATCGCGTCAACATTTAATGTTTCACATGTACTTGTTTGGAAAATTCTCATCGAAAATTTGTTATACCCATATCACATTCAAAGAGTCCAGGCATTACTCCCTAGAGATTTCCCGTTGCGCATTAATTTCTGTGAGTGGTTTCTTCAAAACCTGCTGGAAAATCCATTATTTGACAGGCACATTCTTTTTACCGATGAAGCTAATTTTTCTCGAAACTCAATAATAAATTTCCATAATAACCTTTTATGGGCGGATGAAAACCCTTATGCAATTGTTGAGTCAAATCATCAAGAACAGTTCTCATTAAATGTTTGGGCTGGCATTATTGATGATTATTTGATAGGCCCATTTTTTCTCCCAAGAAGACTTGATGGACAATCATATTTACACTTCTTTGAAGATGATCTGCCGCCAATGCTTGAAGACCTTCCTCTTTTATTAAGAAACCAGATGTGGCTAATGCACGATGGTGCGCCTCCACATTTTAGCTTACGATTGCGTGAATTTTTAAATCACACCTATCGCAATCGGTAGATAGGTCGCGGAGGAACGCAGTCATGGCCGCCTAGATCTCCCGACCTTAATGGGTTTAGACTTCTTTTTCTGGGGGCATCTGAAAAGCTTAGTGTACGCAGTGATGATTCAAACCGAAGAAGAGTTACGAAATCGTATAACAGTCTGCTGCCAAACCATAAGAAACACCCCAGGAATCTTTGAAAATGTGCGTCAGTCTAAGCGAAGAAGAGTAGATGCTTGCATACGTGTGGGTGGAGGACACTTCCAACAATTACTGTAAATAATTTGGGTTCTTTATTTTGTTTGTATTCTCTTGTAATTTCGTTTTAGATTCAAGATTTTGAATTTTCATTTTACTATAAATAAATCCCGATTTTTAAAATACATAGAATTTAAAAAAATCAAAAGTGTACGTTTTTTTTTCTATCCAAACATTCAATATGATGCCTACGTAGCCGTCACTGGTGGAAGTACAAAATTAATTTTTGCCCCAAAATAAGTGTTTTCTCGCATGGTGGGTGCCTACCAAATTTCAACAAAAAATCAAAAGCAGCTTAAGAAAAAAAAAATTTTGGTTTTTATTTTTTTACGCTAACACAGTGCATCGTACGAAAGCAAGTCTATGGGCCAAATTTGCTCAAAAATAAATGAAAATTTCAAAAATAATTTTGGATTTTATAAAAAGCAGTGGCGTACCATTTTTTTCTTCAAAAATATTCAGTTCAAACCCCGTACGGAAGTCACTGGTAAAAATTTAAAAAAATCTTATACGTCAAAAAATGCTCCTTAATGATTAAAAGGTGTTTACAAAATTTCATAGAAATATCTGCAGTGATAAGAAAATTATGAAAAAAAAATATATTTTTTCTTAAAACTGTAACACCCTGTAGCTCAAAAATTAAGAGATTTACGACATATGTTGATATTAACTTTTCTTCTTAAAATCACCCAAGGATTCACACCCTTAAGTATCGGCACTCAATTAATCTATTTTGTCTACACTATCCAATAGAAGCGTGAATTACTACTTTATCTCTTAAATTGCTTTACTCTTAAAACGTAAAATCAAACTTAAATTTCTAGAAAAACTTCTTCGGCTCAGCGGACCTGACCACGAAATCCGTGTTTACGGTTTAACGGAACAGTGTTGCCATGTCGATTAGATATCCAAACTTGACCGGATAAATAATAAATAGAATTACTACGCCATCTGTTGAACAAAAGAATTATTAAATCTAAAATACTCTTCCATCTGTTAAAAAAAACGATTCTTAAATATGACACATAAATGACGTCTATCAAAATTAGTTAGAGTTACGAATATTGGAGCGTGCTACTGTGGCCTTAAAGGACCTTGAAGTTTCCTTGTGGAAAATGGCTTTCGGTCAAATCTACTGAATTTTATTTATGTTTTTGACATCCTATTTAAATGTGTCTATGGGCACAAAAGACTCCTGTGACTATTCTTTGAGATTGAACTTGTGAATTTTCATAATTATCAAAAAATACATAAGTAATTGTAATTTTTCAATAAATAAATACTGCAATTTGTGTCTACCAAAATACAAATCAACCTTTTTGGAAAACAATAATATAGGGTATTTTTTTAAACTGAATTGGCTAAAGTGCATGTTTAAAAAATGGCTAAACGCCTAAAATATTGATAATAAATAATTTTTATATAGTTATTTATATAAGTGTGTGCAAACAACAGTTTATTATTTCAAAAAAATAGATATTTACGAGGTGAATCAAAAAGTTGATTCAGTGAGTGTCGCTTTTTACGATATAACCTATATCTATATCGTAATATTTATATTCCAAATAAATACAACATTATATTGAAAAAAGTATATACTTAAGACTCCGTATACAGGGAGAGTTAAAATTTAAAATAGAATTGAAATATTCAAAAGTTGATATTTTTTATGAAAAACGTCAAATAAATATGAATTTAATACTGTGATGTACTGTGATGTGGATCTCCAAGGGCACTCAAAATCGACAGATAAACTCTTTCATCAACACATCTGCAACAGTTGCGGCCTCTTGATTTGGAATGGCGCAGACTTCCACCCACTTCGTGAAATATTCCATAACCACCATAATGTATTTATTACCAGTCTCGGTCATGGGGAATGGTCCAGCAATATCTAGGGCGATCCTCTCAAATTGGCTACCAACGTTGTACTGCTTCATGGGAGTCTTCCTTTTTCGCTGAGGTCCATTACTCACAGCACAGCTGGTACATTTCTTACACCACTCCTTTACATCATCGGAACTATTCATCCAATAAAACCTTTCACGAAATCTCTGAAGGGTTTTCCTAACACCAAGATGTCCTCCTGATGGACTGTCGTGTAACTGACGAAGTACTTTGGCTACTCTACTCCTTGGAATGACCAACTATCTTCTGTTCTCGGAACCATCATCATTTTCAAGTACTGACTTTAATAAGTTGTCTTCCAAGATAAAGGAGTCCCACTGAGCCTAATATGATTTCACTACTGGAGAGAGTTTCGATACTTCTTGCCAAGTAGGTCGACGATTTTCCTCTTTCCGTTCTCTTATCTTCTTTAAAACTAGATCGTTCTCTTGTCCTTTCCTAAGTTTGACAGGGGCCCACTCATCGCTGACAACCGACGTTTTTCGTACTGTAACTTCTTTAGCAGATGTGGCCAACCCCTTTCCAATCAGAGTTCCTTGAACAACACCTCCATTGCGCTTCGAAGGTTCCGCCATGACAGGCGTTGCTTTCTCTACAGTTCCTTGCAACCGCCTTACTTTTATGGTTTCATTACTTTCAGGCAACACTGTTCCTTCCTGAACAGCCACCAGCACAGTTTTTGGATTCGTAGTGTTCTTTGGGCGTTTGCGCGAACTGCTTACATTTCCCATTTTACCGCAATTCCAGCACCTAATAGTCTTCGGTTGCTTCTTAATAAGGGTTTTTACCACGTGAAACAATTTGTCCAATTTATATCCCTGTTCTTCTTCTTTTACAGTCCTTACTTCACTGTATCCACCAGAAGCCAACGTAGTCGCTTCCCAGCTAGCACAAAAACATCCCATCTACGTTAATAAGCTGCAATTTTAGGCTCTTTAAGCTCGCATGCAATGTACTGTAACTGTAA